CTACTACATCAGTCGCTAATTTCCCCAAGCATCTTGCTCTGTCTCGCTGACCGCTGTCCAGTCCTCGTATCCTCTGTTTTAATATTTGTCATTACTCATTACATGCATGAATTCAGAACTTCTTTCCTTATTAGATTACTTGTCGCTCTCATATTCCACAACGTCGAGAATTAACTCTCTCTACAACACGGCACCAAATAAATCACATTCTTCTAAGCCAAATGCACACAAGCGAACGAGGGTGCAAGTGCAACCCAACAAGAATTGTGATGAGGTGTGCATGATATATTGGAACACAAAAAACAAAACTTAATTACATAGTAAATCAATTAAAAAACGTATTTCAGTCAAAAAAATCTGGCACGTCCCTGGTGTATTCATATATGTAGTCACAAGAAAAGTTGAGATGCAAACTTTTTTTTACGGAGGGAAACCCTGCTTTTATAAAGCGAGAAAGTTGAGATGCAAACTCACTATTGAAAAAACAATCATACAGAAACGATAAAGATGACACATCCATGTTAGTGTAGAAAGTGGGTCAGTACTCATTTCCACCTTAGATGAGTTGATGACACCTAGAGCTAAGTTTAGAAATTTAAAAATGATATTTTTCTAAATATAAGAAGCGGGTTAGTACTCGTTTCGAGCTCAGGCTCCTCATGTGGGGCACCTTCTTTGGGACTTTTTTTAAAATAATATTATATAATATTATATTAATAAATAATTGCATATATAGATGTTGTTTTTATGAAATTATAAAACTAGTATTTTGTCGGCTATCCAGAAGCCGACAGGGAATTTATCGGCTGTTGGGCATCCGACATCCGACGTGGCGATTGAAAAAGTTAAAGTGCGGTCTAGTCGGCGATCAGTAAGCCGAAGAGCACACTCGGGTCGCCAAGCTAGGCCCTAGGATGGCCGATTGGACTACTCCCCAGCCACGCTTCCAAATGGACCATTTATTTTTGCGTTTTATTTTCTTATGATATCGAATAAAATACCAAAACACCTTAAGAATTATTGTAATTTTTTATGTACATACTAAGAATTAAACACAACCAATTTTGCTTGATCTATCATCATTGCTTTTATAGTTTTCAAATTAAGATTATTTATGTAATGTTATATTTAAGTTTTCGGGTAAGTTGTTTAGCTCTGAAATGGTCTCCACAAATTCAAAAAAATCCTCTAAATTAATGGTTGGAAAGTAGTACTTTATCATATTCTATATATGGGACCTTTGGCACGGCTCCCGGCCCCAACTTCATCCTCAGCTTCGACGGAGCCTTGCCACTAAAAATGCAACTGGATTCTGGTGGCGAGCTAACGAGAATCACTTCTCTTACACTACGAGCTGCGAGCTACATAAACCCGCTCTCCACCACTTCCCGCTGCTCCTCCTCATTCATTTGATGTTGGTGTAGGGGTGCAGCCTGTTCGTTTAATCGTATTTGGCTTATAAGTCATGACTTATCAGCCAACGAACAATATTTTTCTCTCACACCAAACCAGCCAACAGTATTTTCAGCCATAACTTATAAGCCAAACCAGCCCAAACGAACATGACGGTAGATGTTGTCACGTTTATTATAGGGTCAATTTAATAGCCTACTTGCTTCTTATGCCTGCACGTATACATTCTGCTAGTTTTATTTTCGAATTTAACGATATTGTGCTTTCAGTGGTAGCAGCTAGATTTATTATAGGATTTAATGATGGTGCTCCTAGGGTAGTGTTTGCGTGCATGTGTTTATAGGGGCGTTGTGCTTTTAGTGGTTGACGCTATATTTATTCCAGCGTTATCTGATACTTATTTTATCTCATAATTATTAGTATATTTTTATATAATTTTGGTTAAACTTCAAATTGTTTAATTTTTCTGGACGGAGGAAGTAGATATGAACAATAAGTTATGTCCTCCCTCTGTCAAAAAAATATAATTCTAGTTATAAATCTGAATAATTACGGTTTTTTAGGCCCATGTTTAGTTGGCGAAATTTATTGGGAAACGATACTGTAGCACTTTCGTTGTTATTTGGTAATTAGTGTCCAATCATAGTCTAATTAGACTTAAAAGATTCGTCTCGTGAATTTCGTCTAAACTGTGTAATTAGTTTTATTTTTTATTTATATTTAATGCTTTATGCATGTGTCTAACGATTCGATGTGACGAAGAATCTTGAAAAATTTTGCAAAATTTTAGGAACTAAACGGGCACTAGAGTACATAACTTGTATGTCTGTTCACTCGTAGGCAATCTCGGTGCTTCAACCTAAAACGCCTATGCTGTTTGCCCTTGTTTAGTTTTAGGAAGTTTGAATTTGGGGCTATTATAGTAACTTTGTTTTTATTTGGCAATTAGTGTTTAAACATGAACTAATTAGGCTTAAAACGTTCGTCTCGCAATTTCCCATTAAACTGTGTAATTAGTTTTTTTTCGTCTACATTTAATGCTCCATGCATAGACCAAAAATATTTGATGTGACAGGTACTGTAGCATTTTTTGAGATTTTAGGGTCTAACTGAACACGCGCTTAACCTCAGTGCTGAGATCAGGACCCATGTAAAACACAAAAGAAAAAGGACATTGGCCGGTCCTGTGCCCTCTCAGGCAGCCACGCAAAAAAGAAAGTAAGGAAAGGACATGTCCAGTCCAGGAGGGGCTGGTTTCGGTAAAAAATAAAATAAAGTAAACAAGCATGTCCATCAGCTTCAGCCTGTTTGTTTGGCTATGGCTTATTGTAAATGATTATAAATTTTTAGACAGAATAATATTTTTCTCTCACACAAACCAGTTAATAGTACTTTTTCACGAACCAACAACGATACGAACCAGCCAACCGACACGTTTGGACAGCCGACTGATGTCTATGGCAATGATAAATCTGTTGGTAAAATTTATCTCCACGTGGATAGAACGACACGTTCACTTCAACTTATCAGTCGCATCGTTTCAACAAAATAACAGTGCTTTTCTCTCACAACAAAATAGCATCAGTATCAGCCGTTTTTTCAGCCAGCTGAACAGGGCTTTAAGTGGCACCACTTGTCGGCAGTGTTGAATTGCCGATTAGAAACTGTCGGCCATCCTGATGCTGATGGGTGGATACTAGTTTTGCAATTTTTTGAAAGCAGCATCTAGGTCTGCAATTGTTTATTAAAATAATATTATTTCAAAGAGAAATTTCTTATTTGGCAGAGCTAGAGTCGATTTAGAATGACAAAAATAGCTCCAGTGACAGTGTTTTAAACGTCATGGTATCGACTGATCGTGTGATCAACATAAAACAGAGTGCAAACCAATAATTTAAATAAATAACTATCGTGACTACAAGTAATGCAATACAGTAACATGAACAAATTACATCAAACAACTCTAAATAGACCCACCAAGGCCAACAGATAGATTAGAAAGAAGGGGCCATCTGCACGTAAGGTCCCGTTCGCTGATCTGAAATTTGGCTAGAACTGACTGGTTTTATGATTGAAAAACACTATATCGACCGGTTCACGAGGGGTTCAGCCGGCTGGTCTGAACCATCCGGACCGGCGAACGCGCCCGCACGAATTCAAGAAAGAACGGAGGAGTGTGTTATCCGCTGGCTGCATTTATTTGTAGCGCGTAGGAGGCCCCCCGCGTGGCTTTCGCGGAACCTGGGAAGGGGCATCTGCATCTGCAGCTCAGCAGCTGGATGGATGCCGACATCGTCGTCGGCGTCGAGTCATGACTCCTCTGTCGCGTCGCAGCGCCGTACGTGCGCGTCGTGGGCGGTGCCCGTAAAAAGCTGCAGCGCGCGCGGCGCCGTATGTACTCCTGTTGGTCCCGTGCGGGGGCATGGACATGGGATGGGCATGAAGGAACAGAACGACTCGTCAGCGTTTTGGTTGGAATGGTTTGTTCCTTTTTCGGCGAGTTGGAAATTTCGAACACTGTGTTTTTTGAGGGGGGGCGACAACGACCTTCAGCACCAGCCACTGTCTACACCATGCCGATCAAACATAGCCCTTGTTTTTGAGGGCTTTTTATCAATTTCAAAATAGTAATTAAGACAACGACCTTCAGCACCAGCCACTGTCTACACCATTTAATGCCGATAGTAAACATTCGATAGAGGAAGAACTTTTTGAAACATGGTCCACGGCGATAGAGGCTGCGACATGGTCCATGGAGCGCTCGGCTCGCCCCTTTGCCCCTTCCGTCCGGTCCGGTAGAATAAGACAACAACCACCTGTTCTTAAGACGGTCTTTGACGACGATGTAAACCCAATCCGACGAGTGATCGCCCAGTGCGTGATGGAATCAGAGCACCACATCGCCCTGGACACCGATCCTCTAGAACTTTGGTGCCTTGGACCGCGTGATGTAATTTCAAAACCCTGTAAACTCTCTCACGTGCCCTCGGGGATTCCTTGTCCTTGCGAACCTTGGTTTATAGTTAATCAAAGTTCAAGAGGGCGACCTTAGCCCCGTTGTTGCCTAGAAAAAACCAGGTTTTTTTAGTCACAAAAAACCATGTTTTTTTACTAAGTTCAATCAGCATTTGTGACTTGTGAGAGGTAATAACTGGACTGCGAACTGGGTTAGTTCGATATAATACTGCTAGTGTGTTGCCGCTGTAGGCTTGCAGGGCTGTTGCAGCCAGCTCTTCTGAGCACACAAGCCCCAGCATTCCATGGAAAACGATGTTGGGCCCTACCTGGGCGTGGGCTATCTTTCTTTTCTCGAAGGATCGAACAATGAGGTGACACAGCCCAGAAGCTTTACACCTCCTGCTCCTACAAGCCGTGGCCCATCTTATGTGTATGCTTTCTACTTAGGCCCACGAGAAACGCAGCCAAAAAATAGTGAAACTGAGGCCGCGCCCCGAAATAATTTGGCGGGAGAATCCCCCATTCCGGTATTTTCTCCCTTCTTGCCTCCGAAGGAAAATCTGGGTGGAGAAAGAGAGAAGAAAATATAGAAAAAAACAGGCCTCGGGTCCTCAACCCTATCTGCGGCGATGGCGCGCGGTGGCGGGGGGCGGTCGAAGAAGGAGGAGGAAGAGGAGCTGCGGGGGGCGAAGCGCGGGTACAAGGAGGCGGTGGCGGAGGGGAACCGGGAGGAGGAGGCGCGCTGGGCCAACGTCATCGGCGACATCTACAAGCGCCGCGGCGAGTACGTCGAGGCGCTCCGGTGGCTCCGGGTGGACTTCGAGGTCTCCGTCAAGCATCTCCCGCAGAGGCACCTCCTCCCTTCCTGCCAGTCGCTCGGCGAGGTACACCTCCGCCTCGGCCACTTCTCGGAGGCGCTCAAATACCAGGTCACTCCTCAGTCCTCACATCCCACCACCCGCCTCGCTTCTCATTACTTGCGTACCGAGTACCGACCATAATTTTCAGATGTTTAAAACGACAGGAGCTGGGCTGTGCAGTATAACGCTAATGCATTCCCACTTGCAGTGGTAATTTCGGTGCTGAATTTATGAGTTTTTCGACCATTTGGTGGCCTTTTGATCTGGACATGCATTTGGACTGCAGTGTCAAGTGTAGGGTTTGGTTGTTATCAAATTATTATGTTATTAGGGAACTGTATATATACAATTGAATACCCACTGTGGTGTGGACTTTTTGGTAGTGCATCTGTATATTAAATTCTTATGTCTGATATTTAGTGATGTATATGTGACCCCCTGCCTCGATTTGGCCTATACTTGGCTCGCAGTGTTGGGTTTAGGTACATGCTGATTGTTTTAGTTGTTTCACACGCTTATTGACCTTGGATTGCATTACATTACTGATCATGCTGTATCTACCTTGTCACAGTACATGTACATCTATCAAGATATGATCATTAGGTGATTTAGTCACTGCCTCTGTGGTGTTAAATGTTAACCTCTTGTTGTTATAATTGGGATGCTAAGAATTAGAATAATACTCAGACCTCACTTTATAAACCCAAAATTTACATTTTGCTGATTCTGCTACATGAACTCAAACTTCCATTTCCCTTGATGTTTGTTGGCTTGACAGAAGAAGCATCTACAGCTTGCAAAGGATTCTGATGACCTTGTTGAGCAGCAGCGAGCTACCACACAGCTTGGGAGAACATACCATGAGATCCTTCTAAGATCTGAAAATGACCATAGTGCCATAAGGAATGCAAAGAAGTATTTTAAATTTTCGATGAAGCTGGCAAGGATTCTAAAGGAGAAATCCCCTTCTCAAAAGTCGGACTTTCTAAAAGAACTTATTGATGCATACAATAATATGGGCATGCTTGAGCTGGAACTTGATAATTTTGAACAAGCTGAGAAACTACTTATACAGGGTCTGAAGATATGTGACGATGAAGAGGTAGATTCATATGATGATGCTCGCACTAGGCTCCATCATAATCTAGGAAATGTTTATACTGAACTACAGAATTGGAAAAAAGCCAGGGGGCACATCGACAAGGATATACAGATATGTAAAAAAATAGGCCATCTTCAAGGTGAAGCAAAAGGATACATAAATCTGGGGGAGTTGCATTATCGAGATCAGAATTATGACGATGCAAAAAAATGTTACAATAAAGCTCTTGAAGTAGCAAAATCCTTGGAAGATGAGGATGCTCTAATTGAACAAATTCACCAGAATATTGAAACTGTTACAAAAGCAGTTGAAGTATTTGAGCAGTTGAAGGAGGATGAACAGAAGCTAAAAAAACTTGTCCGAGACACTTCTAATGCTCGTGGAACGTCTAAAGAGAGAAAACTCCTCCTTGATCAGCATGCATGGCTGGATAATCTTATTGAGAAGGCCAGCATGATATGTGCATGGAAAAAAGTAAGCGAACCGCATGGTAACTAGTAGATGATTTTTAGTCACCTTGCTATAAACTTGGACCATCATATCCAGCTGAATTTATTTTATAAGATTTTTGATCTTATTCACAAGTAAGATTTTTTTTTTCATTTCTTATCCTATTTTATGCATGTGCATGAATAATCAGCATGATAGTTTTTATGACTGAAAGAACTGTGAGTCTGTGACACAATTGTTCTTGGTTTTATCTTTTGAATTGCAGTTCTGGAACTGTATATGATCTCTCCAAAAAAATAACTGGTTAGCTGAATCTGAACATAAAGTTTACTTAAATAGGAAATAATGTTTTGTTTGTCAGAAATATGAATGTTTTATTTGGAACCTCTTACTAACTTATTTGCACAATTAGGGATTATAACTTCCAACTTAGTTACCTGTATTCTATGTTTGCACTGCACTCTGTTAACCTGAAACTTTTCTGAGCAATGCAAAGAAAAGTAACCTTGATTTGATGGAACTATTTGTTACTGTTCTAATGTTAGATTAGTGCCAAGGGAAATGGTTTGGTACATAGTCTTTATGTGACCAGCTTCGTCAGAAAAGTCACACTGCCCATTCCCATTTTGATGTCCTGAGACATAACATAAATGTGGGAGCCTGATAAAACCAATCATAGATAACTTTCATTTGCTATATTATGTTTGAAAACCAACTATTTATCAGTTTATTTACTTTCTGAATTTCAGAACTGAAATGATTAAAACATTGTGCAAATAGGACAAATGCATTTATGCTCACCTCACTAATATCAACAATGCACTGAGGTGCAATATAATAATCTCATGACTCATTCATGTAACTATTTGTTCTCCAGCACTTGGAATTCTCAAAAGGGAAAAAAAGGGTAGCAAAGGAACTTTGCGATAACGAAAAGTTGAGTGATTCTCTTCTGTCGGTAGGGGAATCATACCAAAAGCTTAGAAACTTCAGTAAAGCTCGTAAGTGGTACATGAGAAGTTGGAACATATATCGGTTGATTGGGAACTTGGAGGTGAGTCACTAGTCTATATTTCCTCATTTGTATTTGTGAATATGCTGACATGCCTCCTACTAGTATGACCACCTTTCCATTGTACTCGTTTACTTGATGATTCTGATTTTTTTTTGGCGAGCAATGATTCTGATTTCAAATTGTGCTCATCTAAGAGATGTCCTCTTTCAGGGACAAGCATTAGCGAAAGTGAACATTGGCAATGTTCTTGATTCTTGTACTGACTGGCCTGGTGCATTGCAAGCTTACGAAGAAGGCTACAGGTATTATCTTGATGTCTTCCTGTCCAAAAGTCAGAAGATCTTAAGTAAGCTTGCATGCTGTGATCTTAAGTAAATGGCCATGAACAACACATAGGACATGACATTGGAGGCTTTATTCACTAACATTTCTTTTAGGCATTTGAGAACCCATTTATTGTTTTTTTTAATGTAACCCATTTATTGTATTAATGGAAACTATATTTTTTAAAGTTTGCGATTTAGAAATGAGAAATTGTGAGTGCTAATATCTTGATTATAGCTGCATCTTTAGTTCTGGATTGCAGCAATCTTCTTGGGAAACACTTTATATATCAAGGGATTGAGCTTGTCCTAAACATCCAGCATTTTTTATACTTCTAACATATTGCAGAGTTTCTTTGTTTAATCCCATATTGCCGTTTTAGTTTTTGTGTCACATTATTGTGTTGGGTCTGTGCCCGTGCCACCTATTTTTTTAATAATTAACTGCTCTTGTCCTTAACAGCATGGTGCTTCCATCTTTAGTTTCTGATGCTTGCATCATATCATATATTCATATGTAGGATTGCTTTGGAAGGAGACCTACATAATGTGCAACTTTCTGCCCTTGAGAATATGCATTACAGTCATATGGTCAGATTTGATAATATTGAAGAAGCCAAGTAAGTTACTAAGAACAGATTTTGCACAAAAGAATTTTATTTTATGCAAACTAAAGGGACTTCCTTTTTTAGGAAAATGCAGGAAAAAATAGACAATCTGAAGCAAACATTGAATCAATGTGAAGCAAGGGATACTATCAGTGACTATTGCTCAGAAACTGACACTGAAGGTGGTTGCGCATCAGATAATATGCTTGATGCTGAGAATGACTATGGGCAGGCTGCAAATAACTACTCTGAGGAACCTGATGATGATGTTACGCTTGCTTCACTCGTTCATAGGAGTGGGAGCTCATCCAAGATTAAGGCACCCAAGATATGGAGTTCTTCTAAGAAGGTTGATGAACTATGTGATGTGGCTGAAGACATTCGTAGTTCTTCTAAGAAGGTTGATGAACTAGGTGATATGGCTGAAGGCACTAGGACAGTTTTAAGTAGATCACGTGCTGATCACTCTGTTGGCCGAAAACGTGTCCGTGTGATCTTATCAGATGATGAATCCGATGAGAATCCTGAAATCGTTCAATTTAAAAGGACATCAACTAGTCCAGCCGATAGTATGTCAATCTCAGGTACAGCGTTGATTAGCATTGCATATTCATATGTTGGGATGGCTAAAATTTACCTCCTAGTTGTATTGACGCCTCATTTTCGTGGCCAGCAGATCATGGAGCAAACAGCAGCAGAAACCAGGTAACAAAACACTGATGATCCTTTAGGCTTATGTTCTTGACTGGGAATTGAAATCTAAGCCATATTTGTCAGGGATCGAGCTCTCATGGGCATAGAGTTTGTAGGCTAATATATAGCAGTTTAAATATCTATTTTTAGTTTGCAATGCAAAAAGAATTTCTTCACCCAAACACCCTCAATATATCCCTCTCCCAAGCTCCAATTCCACGAATTCTTGTATACTATATCCCCATCCAAGAAATTTTTGAAGCTGGAGATGTGCTAAGAGGGCCATGATGTGGTTTACAGCATCTGCTGGTTCTCTTTGGTTACACCAGATGTTGATGGCAATTTAAAGCAGTCGGTTCTTGACCTTTTATTGTAATTCTCCTGAAGCACCAGATATTGAGAGCTTCTATCCATCTGCAGGATACTTTACAACCTAATCAAACAAGGGATGCACCCTGTCCTGCTGAGGAGAGTATTTGTTCATTCAAATCAAGTAGTCCTATTGGTCATGCTTTTGAAGGCATAGGATTAGGTGCTTCCAGTGTAGGAAGGGGATCAGCCTCCAAATCAGCAGCAAGTGGTTCCAAGTTCAGTACTCCTGGCTCAAACAGTCTGCATGAGAGCCAAAATGTTGTTGGTCTTCAATCCACAGATGCTGATAATGTAAGTATTATAGCTACTTCTATCTTTCCATGCTTTCAAAATTATAATTTCTTGAGAATGCCAGCAAGTGAAAAGCATCACAAATTATTCTATCCCCCTGTGCTTAGTTTAGTGGAAAGTTTGTGTGATAGTATTATGTTCATTTCTGCCAATTACTATAATATGTCTACACATGTGCTGATGTGCTAAAACAGATCCTCGCACCTAACAGGACTTTTTCTTTCCCGGATAATACTTTGTGAACAGGGGCAGCTGCCAGCGAGGGCTGATCTGGCACCTGATATTGAGGCACGCCATAGACCAGAGTAAATTAAACAAAAAATCGAGCTGCTAACCTTCTCAAAGGGTGCTTTTAGCCAGCTGCCCCCCCCGCGAGGGCTGATCTGGCACCTGATATTGAGGCACGCCATAGACCAGAGTAAATTAAACAAAAAATCAAGCTGCTACTCTGTATCACTTTGCCACCTTTGTGTATGTGCAGTTACATGTCTGAGACGGTGTTGGTTCGAGTGCGTCTTGTTGTCTTATTGTTTGTGCGGTGTTTGTTCATGCATACTCCTTTTTCTGCTATTTAATAAAATGACACAGTTCTCTTGCATGTCTGAGGAAAAAAAAAGTAAGAGGCACTTCGTGATATTTATTTATTTATTTATTTGAAGAAGCAGGAGGTGGAAGGGCGGGCCTGGTGCAAGCGGTAGAGTCTTACCGCCTGTGACCGGAAGGTCCTGGGTTCGAGTCGCAGTCTCCTCGCATTGCACAGGCGAGGGTAAGGCTTGCCACTGACACCCTTCCTCAGACCCCGCACAGAGCGATAGCTCTCTGCACTGGGTACGCACTTTTTTTTTTGAAGAAGCAGGAGGTGCATAGTTAAATCTGATGGATCTGTGCATACTCCTTAGCCTCAGACCCTCATCAGGCATTTACTTGCAAGTTACCCAGTTACTCCAACTATGGATATTCTTGTAGAATAAAATGGGATGTTTCCTCTGCAGCACTTTTGGGCCTTCAGAATCGGTGGCCATCTGGTTTACTTGGATGGACGCGCTTGTGTACATGAAGGTGCTTTTAGCATTGACTCTCTCAAAGTTGAAGTAGCATGTGTATATTATCTTCAGATTTCTGATGAAAAAAGGGCCAAAGGTTTGTCTTCTAAGTTCTGCTTTCTCGTCAATTACTGTTTAATTTGTTGCCTTTGCATTTGTCCTACTTAGCTTGGTTGGTCTTCTATTATTGGGACACCTACATTTTATTTTTCTATACTTGCTGATGGGATCTTACATTCATATATTACTTTCTAGGTCTATTGCCTATCATTGGGGAACTCAAGTTTTGTGGAAAGGTATTGGAAGATGCGGCATCCATATATTATGATGATCAGCTTGCTTCTGAACAGAAGTGTGTTGATGTTGTTATTGATGGTATGCATGTTCATTGTCTTTATAGAATGGAGTGCCTTGTTCTCAACTATATTCTTAGGACTACTGCTCTTGCATGGATACTAGTGATAGAATTGTGATTCCTTACTATTGGGCTAACCCTAGAAGGGTAGCTATGTTGGAGTCATACATGGGCCATATATGGGCCTTAATACACACATACTCCAACACCCCCCTTGATCTGAACTACTAAGTAGCAATGGAGTTGCAGACCTGGACATGAAAAAGAAGAACACACACGAGCCCCCACACAGACGCAACTAGCCACCGGTGATGTTGAGGTGGAGCTTAAACTCGGAGAATGTGGAGGACGGGGAGGCCCTTGGTGAAGATGTCGGCAAACCGGGAGGTGGTCGGGACGTGGAGGACCGAACATCGCCGATGGCGACCGATCGCGGACAAAGTGAAGGTCGATCTCCACATGCTTGGTCCATTTGGTCTTGAAGCAGGGTTGGTGGAGAGGTACACCTGACCGCGTTGTCATGATAAACAAGCGTGCTCCGGGAGAGGGGACTGTGGAGCTCGGCAAGAAGCTGGCGGAGCCAGGAGGCCTCCGCCACGCCGTTAGCGACAGCGCGGTACTCCGCCTCGGCACTGGAACGGGAGACCACCGGCTGGCGCTTGGACGACCAGGACACCAGGTTGCCGCCCAGAAAGACAGCATAGCCGGAAGTGGAGCGCCGAGTGTCTGGACACCCGGCCCAGTCGGCGTCAGTGTAGGCGACGAGGTCGGTGGAGTGAGACCGGTGGAGCAAGCAGCCGTGTAGTCGGCAAGTGCCTCGGAGGTAGCGGAGGAGGCGCTTGAGAGCGATGAGGTGGGGCTCTCGGGGATCATGCATGTGGAGGCATATCTGCCGAATCGCATAGGTGATGTCGGCTGGTGAAGGTGAGGTAATGAAGTGCTCTGCGCAAGGCTCCCAGACTGTGATGGGGTGCAGCCTTTGGGTTGCCGGCGCCTCGGCGGCTTGGCACTCGAGTGTCAATCGGAGTGGAGCAGGGCTTCTGATCGATCATCGGCTCGCTCCTCGGATATCAAGAGTGTACTGTCGCTGGTGAAGAAGGAGACCGGTGGGACGAGGCTGAACTGTGACCCCGAGGAAGTGATGGAGCACACCAAGATCCTTCATAGCGAACTCTTGTTGAAGAGAGGTGATGATACGCCGGAGGAGTGACGGACTGGAGGCTGTGAGCACAATGTCATCAACATAGAGCAGCAGATAGGCAGTCTCAGCGCCGTGGTGATAGATAAGCAGAAGTATCTCGACTTTGCCTCCACGAATCCCAATGTCGGCAGTGGCAAACAAACCGAGAGTACCAAGCCCGAGGGGCCTGCTTGAGGCCGTAGAGGGACTTGTTGAGCCGGCAGACCATATCAGGACGAGAAGAGTCAACGAAGCCCGCAGGCTGGCTGCAGTAGACTGTCTCAGTCAGAGTACCGTGCAGAAAGGCATTCTTGACGTCCAGCTGGTGCACGGGCCAGGAGCGAGAGAGAGCCAGTGAGAGAACCGTGCGGACGGTAGCCGGCTTCACCACTGGACTGAACGTCTCATCGTAGTCGACGCCAGGGCGCTGAGTGAAACCCCGGAGAACCCAGCGAGCCTTGTACCGATCAAGGGAACCATCAGCCCGCCGCTTGTGTGTCCAGATCCACTTGCCGGTAACAACGTTGGAGCCAGGCGGACGGGGCACCAGATCCCATGTCTGGTTGGCGAGGAGTGCCGCGTACTCCTCCATCGCGCGACGCCAGTGAGGATCCGACAAGGCGGCGCGAACGGAAGAGGGTACAGGAGAGACCTGCGGCTCGCCTGGCATCGCTGCGAGAGCCAGGGGCCGCAGGGTACCAGCCGCGTGCCGCGTCACCATAGGGTGAACATGACGCGGGTGTCGGTGCAGGAGAGGCGGGTGGTACACCGACTGCGTGACACTGGCAGGCGGGCGAGGCGGAGGTGGCGGCGGCGTGGGTGTCGACGGCGGAGAAGAGGCCACCGGTGGTGACCGAGGCGGCGACGGTGGTGGCGGGGCCGGCTCCGGATGCGTGAGCCGGCCGCACTCGGCGGTGGTAGACACGCACCGGTATTGGTGCGAACGCGCAGCAGTCTTTGAAGCCGAGGTCTCCGGACCAGCAGGCGTGGGGCAGAGCAAAGACCGAGTCCGGCGCGCTGGCCGGACCAGGCCTTGCTAGGGTCGGGGCCGCACACGGAGCCCGGCGAAGGGCACGGTGGAGTAGTACTGCAGGACACAACGTCAATGGTGGGCTGGTCCACCGTGTAGTGGGAAAGCAGGGGAGAAGAGGTCAAGGTCGGGGGTGGAGGGGGGTGGGGAGGTGGTGGAGAAAGGGAAGACGGACTCGTCAAACACCACGTGGCGAGAGATGAGGATCCGACGAGAGGTGAGGTCAAAGCAACGGTACCCCTTGTGATCCGGGGAGTACCCGAGGAAGACACACTGAGTCGAACGGGGAGCCAGCTTGTGGGGAGCAATGACAGTGGTGTTAGGGTAACACGCACACCCGAAGACACGAAGGTGATCGTAACGAGGGGGGGTACCGAAGAAAGCGTGGTGTGGAGTGGGAGCTGGGCAGGCAACGGAAGGTAGGCGGTTAAGGAGGTAGGTGGAGGTGTGCAGACTCACCAAGTGAGCAGCAGTGAAGCCCTGGAATGAAGGGTGCGCATGGTGTCGTTCGTGGTGCGAATCATGCGCTCAGCCTTACCGTTCTGGGAGGAGGTATAGGGACATGACATGCGTAACTGCACACCGTGAGAGAGGAAGAAAGCACGAGAGTTGGAGTTATCGAACTCACGCCCATTGTCACACTGAACGGCCTTGATGGTGAGGCCGAACTGAGTAGACACCCAGGCGAAAAAGTGGAGAAGCGTGGGGAATGCATCAGACTTAGCACGCAAGGGAAAAGTCCAAGAATAATGAGAGAAATCATCAAGCACGACAAGATAGTATTTATAGCCAGAAATGCTCATAACAGGAGACATCCATAGGTCGCAATGTACAAGATCAAAAATATGGGTCGCATGGGAAGAGGAGGTAGGGAAAGGAAGACGAACATGACGGCCCAGTTGGCATGCCTGACACAAGTGCTCATCGTGAGCCCGAGTACATGGTATGTCGGAACTACGACTAAGCTGGGTCAAAGCATTACGGCCAGGATGCCCAAGACGCCGGTGCCATGTAGTGGATGAAGGGTGGGAGGAAGAAGGAGGATGAACAGAAGAGAGTATACCATGATAGAATTGTGATTCCTTACTATTGGGCTAACCCTAGAAGGGTAGCTATGTTGGAGTCATACATGGGCCATATATGGGCCTTAATACACACATACTCCAACAACTAGGACACATGAAGATTGTTTGGCATGTTTGTTTCCCTTGTTCTCCTTGCCTAGTAGCCTTGCTGGTAGGCAAGAAAAACCTTTCAGTGGAGAAGAGCCCATTTATCTATTCTCAAATGCAAGCGAACCCTTGCCCAGAAACCCACCTTTGATTCCTTGTTTGCTAGCATAGGATATGCATTAACAAATTCAACAATTGAAAAATGTCTAATACACAAATAGAATAGAGTATGTGATTTACATATTGCATCATACTAGCCTACTACAATGCAGTGCCAAATAGAAATATAGAATATGCAATTTATATACTGCATCATACTAGCCTACTACAATGACAGTGCCAACTTAGCAACTGCTCCAATGTCTTGTAATGACAATAGGAAAAATTCTTAACAATGTTCCTATCCATCCAATGTTAAGAAACCTTCCTCTTTGTCTGTGTAAGTTTCCAGTGCAGGTTATTACACTGCCTCATACAAGTTTAGACTTTAGACTATCATTGACTCATCATGGTTTACAGTACGTTCACTCTTAAGGGGCTATGGAAAAATGGCATGTTGCAGCAGCTCTCAACTTTCGGGTTTCCTTATTTAAGAGCACTAAACTTCTTCGATAAGAAAATAAGGTCCTCAGTCTATTTTTTGTTAGTAGTTGCTGTGAGGCTTTGAGTTTTGGCTGGAAGACAATCTTTTACCTCTGTCCGCCTTAAATTATTTTTGGATTCTTCAGCACCCATTGTGTACTTGAGCTTGTCACACAGAGCTAGCACCTGCTAGACCTATATGTTGTCTGTCCCCCACCACCACCCCTTCCCCCGCGTGTGCCCCTTTCCCTCTCCCTGGTTCCACTGACGAAGTTCATTATTGCGCATAGAAACGCATCATGATGAAACTGTGAAACATAATTTCCATATTTTTATCAGTCAATATCTTCTGACGTACCATATTTGTAATGAAGATTGGGTGCCAAAGCGGCTGATGAAATTGTATGTTGATTTCTGCATGAAGTCCTCAGAAGCACCCAATAAGAAGCTGCTGACGAAACTATATAATCTTGAGGTAAACATTTTAGATATGCTTGGCTCGTATGACGTATGTGAATGATAGTGTCAAAAAGCAGCTCTACTTAACTAATGCCAAATATGTTCCTTCTATTTTCTGACAGGTATCTGAAGATGAAATAATTGTTCCTGATTGCGGACTGCAGGATATGTCAATTGCGTCCTTTCTTGATGCCCTAAGATCTCATAAAACAATAGCAGTTTTGGATCTTTCTCATAATTTACTAGGTAGCCTTTTTCCAGTAACTACAGCCATTTCATTTCATAATTACTTCAACAGTGCTCTATAAATCAGTTACAGCTAAATGGTTGTTTCTTTAGGCCCTTGTAGTGCAGCACATAACATGTTCTAGCAGTCCCCTTTTATGTAGTGCTTTGTGCTGTTCCAAGCAGTTAAAGCCGTGACTTTTGTAGCCTTTCAAGGACATTATTTTGAATCACTCAGCAGTTAGTAATTCATTGATGATTGTGCTGCTTTGTGGTTTTAATTTGTAGGATGGTGTAGAATAATTATGCTCTTATACTATGGCTTATTGGACTGATTTGTTATTCCTGCCCACAAATCTCAGGAAACCAAACAATTGAAAGACTTCAGCATATATTTGCTTCATCAAGTCACACATATGGTGGTTTGACTCTGGATTTACATTGTAATCGATTGGGTCCAACTGCTTTATTTCAGGTTTTTACAATCCCAGAAACTTATCTGTCAAAGTGAAATAATATGATACTCCTATCACCCCATCGGGATTTTTGCTTGAAATTCTGCATTCAGCTTCTGCACATTTGTAACATGCGTCCTGTTTAAAAAAAGATGAGGAAAATCATTCTAGCATGTGGTGATCTGATACACTTTCTTAATGGAGTTATATTACAAGAATGCAAGATATTTAAGCCATTTCTATGAGGTCCACTAGTATTTATTTATTTATCAAAGGAAGACCTCGGGTCTTCTTGCAAAATGGTTCTGGAACAGGATACAAAAAACCTGCTGAACATTCTGTTAGTTTCTAAAGATTTCTTGATGCTTTGGTATTTTTAGAAATTAATATTTCTTATAAAACAAACTCTAGAATCCTCTTTGACTGAATCTGCTAGGGATTTTAGCTGGTTACTTGTTTTAGTTCATTTGGTTTTTGTTCCAAGTGATCTCACTTCTTGACCCGAGTCAACATAATTTCTCTTGCTTTACAGCATATATTCTGTAAAATGCTAAGCCACTTTTTGCCTCCTTATTTACTGAATAGATATGTGAGTGCTCTATTTTGACCAATCGATTGGAAGTACTTAATCTATCTGGGAATCGCCTCACTGATGCATGCAGTTCTTACCTTTTCACAATCCTGCAAAAGTGCAAAGGTATGTAGCACTTGATAGATCAGTAGAATTGTAGAAATGCATATAGCTTCTTTTGGAGACTGGGGGGCTAACCGGGGCTTTCCCTGATTTTTATTGTTGTGTTTCATTGACTGCCGTAAGCCTTTTTTTTGGAAGGAGACATTTATTTTTGCTTACTGTATGTTATGTATTTGCTTTGTTTACAGCACTTTATAGCTTGAATGTCGAGCAGTGTTCTATCACGTCAAGAACTGTTCAGAAGATGACAGATGCACTTCATGAAGAGTCTGTCCTTTCACATCTCTCATTAGGTACTTCTTGTTTTCATGACGGCCTACTTCTCTTCTGATTTGTATATTAGCAATGTCCATTTACAAACGCTCAAAAATTCCGTACCCTCGACAGGAAAGAACAACCCAATTTCTAGCAGTACAATGCTTAACCTTCTATCCAAACTTGCGTCTCTCACAAGGTTAGCAGAAACTGTCCATATCTGTTGATAGATACTAAGGTGTTGGCAAGTATAGACCAGCCATGCATGTTGTCGTTGCAGGTTTTCAGAACTAAGCCTGACTGGTATAAAAGTGAACAAGTTAATGGTTGATAAGCTGTGCCTCCTTGCACAATCCTCGTGCCTATCAGGACTTCTGCTAGGTGGAACTTCCATTGGACCGGTAATTTGCTTTCCATTTTCTTTCGTTCAAAAGAAAGGCTTTGTGTTCAAGAAAAAAGAAAGGCTTTGCTTTCCATTTGTGGTTAGTGTTTGCAGCCTGTACACAAGCAATATGTCATCTCATCTGGTGCTGCTGTTTATGCAGGTGGAGACAATTAGGCTTACTGAGTCATTGTCTTGTACATCTCAAGAATTGCTAAGGTTGGAGTTGTCTAATTGTGGGCTTACAACACCTGATTTCACACAAATCTGTACAAATCTCTCTCGGATCAATATTCTTGAGTTAAACCTTGGAGGAAATCCAATTAACCTGGAGGTTTAATTCCTACTCTCATATGCTTTGGTAACATATATCCCCATATTTCAGTAGCAATGATCTGTTGTGTTACATTATATTATGCAGGGATGTGATGCTATACAGGGAATGCTTGTAAATCCCCAATGCAGTATTAGATCTCTCACCCTTGACAAATGCAATCTTGGACTTGCTGGAATTGTTCGTATTATTCAATCATTATCAGGTATTATTCAATCATTATCTGGTGAGGAACAATTTTGTTGAAACACCAGTCTCTACAAGTTAATAATCTTCTTCTACTTTCAGAAAATAGCCAATTAGAGGAGCTGCGCATGTCTAAGAACACGAACTTGGAGTCAGAGAGAACAATAAAGTATGACGAAGACATGCAGGAAGTATCAACAACTGCTGAGCAAAAACAATGTAATAATCCTGAAACAAAGAATGATATAGCTCCAGGGGACATAGATTTTGCGAACATGCAGGTTCCAGATAGTGAAGATGAAGCAGATAATGATGCCCACCATGCCATATCTGGTCCACATAGGAGCTGTGCAAGTTCATCGCAGAAAAACTCTTACTCTTGTCAGATTATTGAAGAACTGGCGGAGGCCCTGATTTCAGCAAAGCAATTGAAGGTGCTTGATCTTAGCTGCAACGGTTTGTCTGAAGAGGCCATACAGTCACTGTATTCTGCTTGGGCTTCTGTTCCAAGAGGCGATGGAATGGCTCGAAAACATGTAAATAAGGAAGTGGTCCACTTTTCAGTGGATGGCATGAGGTGCTGCGGCCTAAAACCCTGCTGCAGAAGAGACCTGCAAATGTGAACCCTGGACGGCCTTCCAATGCTAAACTATGATTGCACTCTGTAAATAAATCATCAGTGGATCAACTAGGCGTTGACGCGTTGTCAATGTAACTTCACACTAGTCACAATAGCTGGCTGACTTGAGAGAAATCTTTTTTTTTAACGCAATGGCAGGAGCTCTGCTTTTCAATTAAGATAGGGAAAGAAAGTTTATGTACAAGCAAGGACAAACGAGATTATGGTTTCACCCCCTCATAAGCATGTAAGCTAAACATAATTGAGTGCTCTTTTTCTTTGCTCTATGTCTTCCTTTATCCTTGCGGCACCGTTTTTATCTTGTTGTCGAAAATTCTTTTATTTCTCTCTTTCTATATATTCCAAAAGGTGTAGATTACCACCCTGTTAAGCCGCCTATGCTCAGATCTTGGCACTTTCCTTGCCGCGTCTTCCCACCATGACCTGGTATGGGTGGGGTCTATCTGGGGCTGTTGTTGCAGTTGAGTGAAGTTTTCCCACAAGAGGATTTGATCCCAACGTTGCAGTTGAGTGAAGTTTTCCCACAAGAGGATTTGATCCCAACTCGAGAGAAATCTGGCTTTCAGGAGTGTAATTATGCCGATTCGCGGGAATGTATACACTACATGCTTGAGATTTGGGCTTGCAGATGTTTCTTAAGTTGCAGTTACTACTTACTAGTATGTTACCATCGTGTCATTACAGGTAAGGCTGTGTTTAGTTCGCGAAATGAAAATTTTTGAATGTCACATCGGATGTTTTGGGGATGTCGGAAGGGGTTTTCAGATACTAATAAAAAAAACTAATTACATAGCTCGCCTGGAAACTGCGAGACGAATTTATTAAGTCTAATTAATCCATCATTAGCGCATGTTAGTTATTGTAGCACTTATGGCTAATCATAGACTAATTAGTCTTAAAACATTCGTCTTGCGATTTCCAACCAAACTGTGCAATTAGTTTTTTTCCCGTCTATATTTAATACTCCATGCATGTGCCGCAAGATTCGATGCGATAGTTTGGGGTGAAATTTTTTGGGAACTAAACCAGGCCTAAATCTGGTTGGCTAGAGTGAAACTCCTTCAAAGGTCTTGGTTGAATTTTGTGGGATCTGAACATACTATTTTTTTTGAGGAATCAGAGGCTCTATTGCAAATTTATTGAAAATAAAAGAGAAAGCAAAGTGTCAAAGATTACACGGAAAAACAGGGGAACAACGAGCAAAACACTCCCATTCTCACTCACACCGGAGAGAGATTTCAGGGAACACAGAAGGAGAGAAAGAAAATTAAGAGAATTACAAATTGGAGTTGATCCATGCTTCTAAGTTGGGGGTGATTGTAGCCTTTGTTCTGTGCAACAGCAAGAGTGATTCCACCGTGATAGTCCTTTTGCAATCAGCAACCGTGGGGTTTTTGTTTCTGAAGATAATATCATTTCTCATCACCCATGTAGCCCAACAGACCAGTATGAAGATGTCAATTGAGAAGCTAGCATTGTGAAGGATTTGCCATTCTCGAAATATTTCAGGAATTGTGAGTTGATCTGCATATTGAAAATTAAACAGTCCCCAACAATCCTTGGAAAAAGGGCAGTAGAAGAGGAGGTGCATTATTGTTTCTTTAGAAGGTTGCTGACAAAGCACACAGTAATAATCATCTAAGTGCATTCTTCTTCTTCTCAATATGCTTCTTGTGCTTAGTCTGTCTTTGAGTAACAACCAGAAAAATACTTTATGTTTGCTTTGACATGAAGTCTTCCAAAGCCATTTGAAGATAGGGTCAATCTGAGAGTGGCATGTTAAAATTTTATAAGCCTTGGAGGAGGAGAAGTGAGAGGAGCCCCAAATGTATGTCCAATTGTCATTCACATTGTCTAGTGTTAAATCTGATAGTTCAACCTGAAGTTCTTGCATCTGATTGTAAGCTTCTATTGATAATGGTAAGTGAAACAGATCATGAAAATAATCTGTATCATGGGCTGTGCTTAGGCTTATTCTTTTGTTTTTTGCAAAGGAATGGAGCTCTGGGTACTGTATCCTTCTTACTTGATCATTCCAGACATCATCCCAGAAAAGACATATTTTGCCATTAAAGACCAGCACACTTGCCATACCTTTGTACTTATCCAGTAGCTTCAAGATATCACGCCACCAGAAAGATCCTCTTGGGGCTGTAGAGTTTGGCAGCCTGTCATTCCTGTAGTGTTTATCCTAGATCAGGTTCACCCATGGCAGATCTTTTCTATTAAAGAATTTGTCTAGATGTTTAAGTAGTAGTGCTTCATTCTGGGTTTGGAGGTTTAGCACACCTAATCCTCCTTCACATTTTGGTAAGCTGACTAAAGGCCAGGCTGCTTTGTCATTTTCCTTGTATTTTCCTCTGCACCTCTCCAAAGACAATATTTCCTGTATTTGTCGATCTGTTTGATCACTGTTTTTGGCAAAGCAATTGAGCACATTGTATAAGTTGGGAGGGCTGTCAGGACTGAATTAGTGAGTTCAAGCCTACCAGCTTGGCTGAGGAAAGGTGAGACATAACTCGGTCTTTTTTCACATTCACTGATGAGAGGAAGGAAATCATCAACTTTTGGTCTGCTTAAACCCATGGGCAGGCCTAAGTAAGTGAAAGGGAAAGAACCAGTTGCACAACCAAAGGTTCTAGCAAGGTGATTTAGTTTTTCATTGCTCACATTGATGGGCACCATCATTGATTTAGAGAAATTGATCTTCAGACCTGTTGAGTCACTGAAAGCTTGTAGGATCCCTTTCAGAAAGAAGAGTTGTGTGGCGGAGGATTCCATGATGATCAAGGTATCATCAACATATTGTATGATAGGAAAAATCCAATGTTGGGGCTGAAATTGGTAGCCTTAAATGACCACGCTGTGTTGCCTTGTTAATGATGGACTGGAGCAAGTCAGCTGCTAAGACAAAGAGCATAGGAGAGAGAGGGTCCCCCTGTCTGACTCCTCTTTTACAATGGAAGGTTTTGCCAAGGACTCCATTTAACAGAACTGTAGATGTCCCAGAACTTAGAATGGAATTAATCCCGGATCACCATTTCATGCCAAAACCCTTGTGTGCCATTACCTCCAAAATCACTTTATGCTCTATTTTATCGAAAGCTTTCTCGAAATCAAGTTTTAGGACTATAATCTCCTTTTTTGAGTGGTGGCATAGGTGGAGATATTCAAATGACCATGCAATGCAGTCCTGGATGGTCCTTGTCCTGATGAAGCCATACTGATTTTGGTGTACTAACTGAAGAATCACACTCTGTAGTATGTTTGCTAGAAGTTTTGTGATCAGCTTGATAGAACAATTTAGCAAGGAGATTGCCCTAAACTCACCCACTTGTTGTGCACCATCGGTTTTAGGGACTAGAGTGATAAAGGAGTCATTTATGCTCTGAAGGCAAACTGAGTTGTTTTGGAAGGCAAGACAAAGAGCATAGAAATCTTCCTTAATAAAGTGCCAACATTTTTTGATGAATTCATTGTTAAATCCATCAGGACCAGGAGCTTTGTCATTGGCTAGGTTTTTGACTGCTGCATCAATTTCATCTCTAGTGAAAGGAGCTTCCAGCCATGCAAGGTCTGTGTTGTTTTCTAGAAAAAAATTCAGGTTGAAGGCTATTGATTGAAATTCAGAATGTCCCAACCTCTCTTTGAATGTTTCCCAAAGTACAACTGCTTTGTCTATGTGATTGGGTGATTGTGTACCGTTTCACCATTGTGCTTCTGCAATTGAGCTATCAGGTTATTTCTGTGCTTGAGTGTTGCAGTTGCATAAAAAGCTTGGTCCCAGCATCACCTTCTTTTACCCATCTAATATTGCCTCTTTGTCTCCAGTAGATTTTTTGTTGCTCCAAAAGCTGCTTCAGTTTCTCAGTAAGTGCTTCCTTATTCCAAAATTGTCAAATCTCTGAATTCTTATATGGTCTATAGGAGGGAGATAACAGTCTTGACATGACTTAGAATCTTCTTGAGACCTGAAAGTTGTTGTTGCTAGGCTCTTAGCACTTTTCTTAAGTTCTTGAATTTTGCGGTAACTAGCTTGGCCTTATCAGTTTGACTGCTTACTTCATTCCAGCCTTGCTGAGCAATCTGCAGAAAAGAGGGGTACTGCATCCAATAGTTTTCAAACCTGAATACTTGCCCTCTAGGGATGGAGGTTGAGACTGTAATATTGCAAGGCCAATGATCTGATGTTTGCATGATAAGAGTGGACACAGAGGTATCTGGGTAAGCAGTAGTCCATGAACTAGAGGTGAAGAACCAGTCTAGTCTTTCCAGCAAAGGAGATGGCTGCTTGTTTGTCCAAGTGTATTTCTTGCCATATAAGGGAAGTTCCACCAGGCCTAGGGCATTTATAGCTTCGTTGAATAGGAGCATCTCATTTGCATCTCCTCCAGGCTTGTTTTTGTTGTCTAGTTTCCTTAGAAGGTTGAAGTCTCCAACTATAAGCCAGTTATCATCAACAGCCGCTGTGTAGTGCTTGAACCATTGCAGAAAATTTCTTTTTCCTTCATGTGTGCAGGGCCCATATATGTTGGTCAAGAGCCAGGAATCATTGTTGTGTCTAGCAGAGAACTTGATTGTGATTGCAAAACTGTTCTGGAAGATTAGCTAGCCACTGAAGATGGAGCTTTTCCATCCAGTGATGAGCCCCCCTATGCTCCAATGGAAGGCAGGAATTCAAAGGAATCAAAACCAGAGGGACTGAAGGCAGTGAGGGGTAATGAACAAATTCCTTTGCATGTTTAAAGCGGTGAGGTCAATTTCTATCTTCAGTACAAACAGTGATATAAACATTTCAAATCGTTTATAAAAAAAACATTTCAAATCGTAAATCATGACCGAGACGGCGAGACGCCACATGGAACAGAATAGTCGTAAAGATACCAGATTTGGTGTCTTGTTCACCATCGGCAACACATATCTAATTGTTTTGTGTATAATATTATACTAGTGTACCACATCACCAGATAAGGATTTGTCGGTTCTACGAATTAGAGAATATTATCAACAATCTTGTCTGGTGGGATTGGTTAGGCCCGCAAAACCCCGAAAGGACTAAAGGAGCATGATAAGCAGATGTGTTACACCCAAATGAGATTACAGTGCTAAATGAACCTTTTTTTTATTAGTAGTGCTAAATGAACCTTAAAACACCTCCAAAAGAACCAAAAGAAAATGAAGCAGCTCTGTGTGCAACCTCTCTATTCAAACATTTGGAGTTATATTCCTACTAGTGTTTACTAGTTATCACATCTGTGGCCCCGTTCGCTTGGCTTAAATTGGCTGAAAAAACAAGCCAAAACTGAAATGTTGTTAAAGAAAAACACTGTTCCGGCTGAAAAAAGAAGCCGAATAAGCTGGCTTTTAAGGTAAGCCGAATGGGGCCTGTTTGTAAAATAAAAAAAAACTCAAGCTCTATATTTGTGTTTTTTTTTAAAAAAAAAGATGAAGGAATTTCCACTAGCAAATGTGAGCCATTCTCCTTTTGGTGATAGTTGCTTGTGGACATAGCAGCATTGCATATAAGAAATGCCATCTTGTTCAGCACCAACCAACCACTGTCAGGCAGGCACCAGTGTGCCAAATCGAGAATGCAATAAGCTCGTTCTCGGAAAGAGCTTATCAACCACTTCACCCCACCCACACTTGTCTTTTCCAAAACCGGCAAGCGGGGCTCGCTCCAAGAGTCTAATAATGGCGATCAGGAGCTCCTGCCATGGCCTTCCTTCCACCACCGCCGTCCCAAGATTCAGCACAAGGAAAAGCAAGGTAACAACACTGAGGCTCAGCGCCACAGCGCACAGCAGCCACGAGCACCCGTCCTCCAGCTCCGCAAGATCCATCAAGACGGTGAGCGGCATTCCGTCTAGCTACTGCTCCCATAGCTTCTAGTGAAGCTGCACATGAATCTGGCTGGGTGACTCTTTCGTGAGAATTTTCTGTGCACGCAGGTGTTTGAGGACCAGGTGAGAGGGGTGGTGTGCTACAGAGACGACGGCGGGGAGGTGATCTGCGAAGGGTTCGACGAAGGGCCTCGGCTCGGGATGCGGCTGCCGGAGAAGGCCTGCGGCCCATGGTAGTGACTGGTAACCCATGCTAGTATACGTAGCTAGCATCTCATTTCACTCGATCGATCACTTTGTTCCTTTACAAAACACAACACAACAGGGCAGGATCAGAACAAATTCAGAATGCCTGAACCCAGATCTGCCTTTTCTGTTGCCATCAAACTGTGGTGCAGGCACATGGGAATCCGGGTCACTGATTGCATCGAGCTGTCGACGCTTCGGGTCTTGGAAGACGAGGATGCTCTGAAATGATACGAAGATGGAGGGATCAGCTATCTGGAGTTCTTTCGTGTGACAGCAACCACAAGAATAAGAAGACGGAGCGATCAGCTATCTGGAGTTCAGCAATATTTCTAGTTCGTTTATTTACATGAGTATGAGCATACATCGACTTTCAGTACAAGAACGAGATGAAATTCGTGTGGTTTTCTGAAGCATCAGACCAAACTGTCCATGTTTTTATATATCCAAAAGTGTCTAATAAATTAAAACATATAGAGATGTGATATGAACCAGCATGGACGATAACACTAGTAGGAGGTTATACATATATGACAACGTTCCTTAATTACAGTCCCGAAGTATACTTGACTCCAGTGGCATCCAACCACGAATCTCCCATGATGAAATTCGCCACGGTGAACCCCGTGGCATCCTCCGTGGACATCGACGTGTGCACGCCAGTCCACGTCACCCGCCCGGCCGTCGCCGCGCCGGCCCCGGTGTTCCGGTACTCCCCGTAGTACAGGGTACCAGGCGCAGGCTGGCCGGACCACTCCAGCCACCCGTCGAGGGCGGCCGAGGTACACCGGCGTCTCCTCAAGGTCCGGCGCGCCGGTGACGCGGCACCGGTGGATGGAAAACCCCGTGTTCTGGTTGGGGTCGGCGCGGCCCTGCGCCGTGACGACGTCCTGTTGCCCCGGTCGGGGCCTCCTGGCCTGGATGTCGCAGCGCTGCAGCACCGCGGCGGCGTTGCCGAAGATGAAGTCCACCGTGCCGGAGACGTCCGTGTCGGCGTAGAACTGGCGGTTGGAGTGCGCGAACAGCGTGTCCTGGTGACCCTTCACCTCGCACTGGTACACCACGGAGCGGTCGCCGCTCACCAGCAGCGCCACCGCCTGGCCTTGCCCCGGCCCGGCGCTGTTGAGGATGCTCACGCCCTTGGCGATGGGGATGAAGCCCGCGCCCATGGCAGCTGTATGCATGCATCATATGGACCCACTCAAATTATCTACTATCACAAAAGCCAATGGAGTGTACTATACGATGCTGTCGTGTCGAGAACGGCATTCAGATGTGATCGTGAACAACGACATGGTAAGTGAGCGCGTGTTTAGTTATCACCTAAAATCCAAAAAAGTGCTACAGTATCTATCACATCAAATCTTACGATACATGCATAGAGTATTAAATGTAGACGAAAAAAAACTAATTGCACAGTTTGGTTGGAAATTACGAGACGAACGTTTTGAGCCTAATTAGTCCATGATTGAACAATAATTGCCAAATAAAAACAAAAGTGCTACAATAGCCCAAATTTCAAACTTCCCAGACTAAACACGGCGTGAAGCATCTGGATCATGCATCTATCAGTTGCGGTCGCTAGCCTATCTCTAGCCGGTCTCCGTCCTAGCTAGGAGTTTAGCTGGAAGGCTAGCTGTCACAATTATCCTGCCCGGAATACTCCTTAACTACCGGTAAAGTCAAGGATTACAGGTCGCTAACTAGCTGTCACAATGAAAAACTTGCTAAGGCACGGTGGTGAAGAAAGAAGCATCACACTCCTTGCATTTGCTTGTGCTCATAGTGCAACCATTAGTAGTTGTATACTCCATCCATCCCCAAAAAGTGTGCACGATCTCATTTTTAAAAAGTCATCTAATTTTGTGTTATTTTCAACTCTGATCAAATCTATTGAAAATACTAATACCATTTATGATACCAAATATGTGTAGTGTAATATATTTTTTTATAGTTAATCTATTTAGACATAAATGTTGATACTATTTCTATAAACTTTAGTCAAATTTAAGTTTGGTTGATTTCATGGAATACGAGATACGGAGTATGCACTTAATTTATTTGGGACAGAGGGTGTACGCTACTTCATTCACTCTAAATTGTAGATCTTTCTAGTTTTGTCCAAAGTCAAAGACCTGTAACTTTGAACTTTTTTAATAGAAAAATACGGTCTCCGTTTCAAATTATAATTCACTTTGGCTTTATACTAAGCTAAACTTATTTAATTTTAACCATTAGAAAAATACATAAGCATCTACAACGCCAAATTTAGTTTTGTTGATTCTCCATGAAATATTTTTAATGCATTTACTTGAGTTTGTAGGTGCTAATTTGTTTTCAAAAGTTTGGTCAACATTAGATAAGTTTGACTTATGACAAAACTAGAATTAGAGTATACTCCACTAACATTAGAGTAACATTTTCAAAAGTTTGGGCGTTAGATAAGTTTGACTTATGACAAAACTAGAATTAGAGTAGATAAGTTTGACTTATGACAAAAGTAGAATTATAGTATTAAATATATCTTGATGGTGGAGTAGTTTAGAAACATCAAGACATTCGTTATCTACACTAACAAGTAAATCCACCATCAAGATATACTTAATAAATGGATTTAAAGAATCTCACTTTAGGTTCTATACACCTGGTCAGAGTTACAAGAAATTTATCTTAGTACAAAAACTAAAACAACGGATTTTTGGAGGTACTAGTATACTTTAGACGAGTGGCTACTGAATAGGAGTATTAATAAAGCTTCGACGATGCCTTTCAATTGGTAATTGTCGTGCCTTTTGGGAGATCTACTTTAAGCTATTGATTGCACTTCAATCAAAAGACTAGGTACGTGCTCGTGCAAAGGGCTGAAGATGCAGGCATGCATGCGTGCATGTGCCATGTAGTACGTACCGACGGTGGCGGAGGACCAGGTGGTGTATCCACCGTCGACGCTCCTGTCGCCGTCGATGATCGTCTTCCCCTCGCCGTCGCCCACCAACATCACGTTTGCCTGCTGGTACGAGATGCTCACGCTCTCCTCGTACCGCCCGGCCTTTACGTGGATCACCTTCCTCCTTGTGGAGACTCCTGCTCCGCGGCCGCCGCTCGCCTCGGTGCCCACCTCCGCCGTGACGGCGGCGATCGCCTCGTTGATGCTCGTGTGCGTCCCGCTGCCGTCCAGCGCCACCACGGCGTCCGGCGTGACGACGATGTCGTCGTCCTTGGTGGTCGCCGGGGACGGCGACTCCAGGAGCCTCCTGTCGTGCTTGGACACCCAGGACGGGAACGGGAACGCGGTGCCTTCACGTGACGGCGTGGACGGCGGGACGCCGCCGCCGCTCCCGCCCTTCTTGACCTTCCTGACGTGCAGCGGCTTATGAACCGCGCGAGCGCGGCGACCTGCCTGCGAACGGCCTCGTTACCCGCGGGATCGTCCGGCAGCGGCACGGCGGCCAGGCTGTTGCGGCAGGTGCCCTGGTTCGTCAGTGCGGCGCTGAGCCACGTCGTGGCCCCGTCCGCGTCGGCCGCGGACCCCGCGAGCGCGTCGCTGAGCTGCGCGAGGCTGATGCCGAGCAGCAGGGCGCAGTCGTGCATGGCCGACGGCGCCGGCACCGGGGCGGGCGCCGCCGCGGACGCGGAGAGGTTCCGCGCCAGCGCGCACGCCGTCGTCGCCCGAGCCATCGCGAACTGGACGGATGCCGCGAACGGGTCCCGCGCCGACCGCGCCTCAGCCGACGTGAGCGCGGTCTCGCACGCGCGCGGGTACGGCGTCGACCGGCAGAGCGACGTCACGTTCGTGGTGGACACCGGCGAGGTGGCCGCGATCCTTGAGACGGCGGCCGCCTCGTCTCCCTTTCCGGACGTAACAGGCTCCACCGTCGCGAGAGACAGCGCCGTGGCCATGGCGCAAGACCATGGGACTACGGGCAGAGCAGGTCTTGCCCTACCAAACGTTGCCATTGTTCTAGTAGGCTTCTAGCTGAGCTGCGCTTGCCCGTTGTCCACAGGAAACTTGTAGCCTAGCTGTTGTGTACGTCTCGAGTCGTTAGCTGCATGGTACAGAGTGCAAGACAAAAGGGGTTTTTATTTATCGATAAAGATATATGTCGGGCGTCCGACCCTTCACTTCACCTCCGGACGTGGCTCGCTCTCCTCCACTCGCTCGTGGCTTATCTTTATCCGCTTGCCCCACGTCGCTCCACCCGCTCCATACGGTGCGCCCCCGCTCGGGTAGCAACGAGATGCTCGGCGCTGCCCCGCCCGAGCCGTGCGCCTCCGCTTGCAGTAGCAACGAGCCGCTCACCGATGCCGCCCCCGCCTAGGCCTCTCGCCGGCGCACCCCTCCCCAGCTGCTCGCGTGGCGCCGCCCCCGCCCGCACCGCTCCTTCCCCGACCCCGGCGTCCTCCTCTGTGGCGGCTCCTTCCCGCACCCCCACGTCCCTCCTCCCCCACCCCGGCGGCGCCGTCCCCGCCCGCACCGCTCCTTCCCCGACCCCGGTGTCCTCCTCCGCGGCTGCTCCTTTCCGCACCCCGGCGTCCCTCCTCCCCCACCCCGGCGGCCCCCCTCCCCCCTCCCCCAACCTGCGTCCTCCCCCACAAGGAGCTCCGGACACCTGCAGATCCAGCGGCCATGGCGCTCCTCGCGCCAGGCTCTCTTCTCTTCCCCCCATGTTGCAATTGTGTCTTTCAATTGTTTCATAAGCTTTAGAGGTATGTTGCAGTAGAATCATATGGTTGATTGCAAAAGTAGATCTGACATGTTGCACTTTTGTTGATATGTTGCAAGTGTTTCAAAGGATTGTTGCAAGCACTTTGTTCAAAATGTTTCACGTGTTTCTACACGATGTTGCAATCGTTTTCTGGTCTGGATGTTTTCATATGGTTCACTCAATTGTTGCAATAATACTTTCCAAATTGTTTTAGTTACTTTCAGTCTTATGTTGCAGTAGTTATTCCACGTTGTTGCAAATGTTTTTTATTTGAGCGTTGTTTCATATGCTTTCAGCCTAATGTTGCAGCGGTTGTTCCGTGTTGTTGCAATAATATGTTCATGGTGTTTCAGCTGTTTCAGCCAAATGTTGCAGCAATTGTTCTATGTTGTTGCAATAATATGTTCATGGTGTTTCAGCTGCTTGAGCCTAATGTTGCAGTAGTTGTTCTGTGTTGCTGCACGTGTTTTATTCTAGCTTTTTATGTTGTTCGGTCGGGGGGCGAGCCAGGCTGCCGGGGACGCATGGCTCGCCGGAGGGATAGTGGACGGAGGCATTGGGGGTCAACGGATGGGGGTGCTGCGGTCAGGGCGGCGATGGGGCATGCTTGTCGCGCACATGGGGCGTTGCGAAGGCGGAAGCGGTGGACTGTGGGGGACAGGTTGCGGGGGCGAGCTAGGGGCTCGGGGCGTGAGCGGTAAGCTAAAAGCTCTAGTTTGTTTTTGGTGAATTGATAAAACCCTAAGTGCTAACCTAGTTTATCAAAGTGGTCATAAGATAGGTAGCACATTCTAAGTGGTGAAGCAAATGAAGATCATGACATGATGATGGTGATGCCATGGTGATGATCAAATGCTTGGACTTGGAAAAGAGGAAAGAAAAATAAAAAGCTCAAGACAAAGGTGAAATTGATAGGAGCTTTTTGGTTTAGTTATCGAGATATTTAGAGAGTGCGATCACATTTAGGATCGATAGCCGTACTATTAAGAGGGGTGAAACTCGTATCAAAATGCGGTTATCAAAGTGTCGGTGCAAAAAGTGACCAATAAGTAAATATTTATTGTTTTGCCGTACGTTGTGATCGGATGTGGCATAACATTCAATGACACAGGGTTTATATTGGTTCAGGCAACGTATCCTACGTCCAGTTTGAGTCGGTTAATGACTTTATTCCTGAACCCAGGTACTCGAAGTTTGCTATGGGGTTACAAACGGGTGAGAATAAGATGGGGGTGTCAGAGGTTCGGTCGGACTCTAGACTGAAGAGCCAAGAGTGACGGGAGCTCCAACGTGAGCTAAGTGTTCGAACGTATGCTCTGTGTAGCTTTAGAGTTCTAGAGCTATGAAGCTGTTCGAGTACACATAATGTCTAAAGCTTAGCAGAGGGAGTCGAAATGAACTGTTTGTCCGTCCGTCCTCCTTCTAGGAGGGAGCGCATCCCCTTTTATAGGTTAAGGGGATGGCCTTACAAGTGAGAGAGAGAGAGAGTGTGTGTGTGCTACCTAGTCTTGTTGCCCACGCCGTTGGGTGCAAGACGGTTTCTCGGCGCCCATAATACTGTTAATGGCCAGATGCATGTGGCAGGCTCCATTGTGTACTTCTGGTATGGCAAATGTCGGCGCCTACCATACTGTAAGACAAATGTCAGCGCCCACAACACTGTTCGTGTTCTGACATGTCTAAAAGGTTGTAAAGCACCCTTTCTGGCATGGCCTGGCGGTACTGTCCTGTAGGCATGCAGGGTACGGTCCTCGGTATTACGGTTGACTTGAGCGCCTTACCTTTATCTGCTTCGCCTGATTTCTTGGGTCCTCACTGAGCGGGCGTCCCTGGCCGGTCGTTCTCAGTTGGCTCCGGTCGCGCCGGTTGGAGAAGAGCTGTAAGCAGAGGTTCAGTGTATTCCCGGTCGGAGAAGCGGGTCGGAGTCGGAAGCGAGCGTCGTCCCCTCCCTGGCCATGCCTTCCGGTCGGAGAAGCAGGTCAGAGTCGGAAGCGAGCGTCGCCCCTCCTTGGCCAGGCCTTCCGGTTGGAGAAGCGGGTCGGAGTCGAAAGCGAGCGTCGCCCCCTCCTTGGCCAGGCCTTCCGATCGGAGACTAGATCGCTCTTTCGGCCTGTCGTTAGGTATCTAGGCCGGCCCAGGAGTTGCGCGTCGTTTGTAATGTCGTCTGCTGGGCCGAGCTTTTACTAGGAAGCAGGCCCATTAGGGACCCCGGGTTTATGAACCCGACACAAAGTGCCACTAGATGCTCTAACTCATTGCATATGCATTTAGGATCTAGTGGAGTGCTAATATCCTTGAAAATGTTTATGAAAATATGCTAACACACATGCACAAAGGTGATACACATTGTGTTTAGCACTTGGGAGTAAGGGTTTAAAACTTTACCGGTGGAGTGTCCGCACTCTACGGGCGGACACTCTGCCGGTGCCACCGGTGCCCTATACAAAAAAGACATTGTTTCACAGAGTACACCGGACGCTGGGGTCCTGCATCCGGTCAGTGGCGCGCAGTGAAGGCCGCCCTCGGTCTCTTGACCGAACGCAAGCGACCGGACTCTGGCTGAACACTATTCAGCGTCCGGTCGTGCTGATGTGGCGGCGCACAGAGGAGACGGTGAGTGATCGGACGCTGGGCGAGTCTGGTCGGGCATGACCGGACGCGTCTGGTCAGAAATTTCTGCCTCTAGAACCTTACTAGAAGTGACCGAATGCTGAGATCCTGCGTCCGGTCGAGATCGAACTGACGCGTTCGGTCGCGACTGGAACCTTACTGGAAGTGACCGGACGCTGGGGTCCTGTGTCCGGTCCTACACTGTAGAGCGTCCGGTCACAACTTAAGTGCACTGTTGACCATTGAGATCGGGCGATCGGCATTTGAAGCAGGGGCCACGTGGCGTGCATCGCGTGACAGGACACTAGGGTCTTGCGTCCGGTCGATCTGACCGACGCGTCCGGTCGCCCCGATTTTTAGTGAATTGAGGAGCCAAGGACTCTATTTCGTGGGGGCTTCTATTTAAACCCCATGGTTGGCTCAAGCTCACCCTCTTAGCCATTTGCATTGGCATAGCAACCTTGTGAGCTTAGCCAAAGCCCTCCCACTAATCTCCATCATTGATTCGTCATCTTTGTGAGATTGGAAGTGAATCCAAGTGCATTGCTTGAGTGTTTGCATCTAGAGGCACTTGGTGTTCGTGTTTCGCTGCGGGATTCACTTGTTACTCTTGGTAGTTGTCGCCACCTAGACGGCTTGGAGCAGTGAGGATCGTCGAGCAAAGGTTGGTGATTGTCTCCGGCTCCGATCGTGGTGATTGTGAGGGGTTCTTGACCTTTCCCCGGCGAAGTGCCAAAAGATACTCTAGTGGATTGCTCGTGGCTTGTGTGATCCTCATCTTGTGTTGGTTGTGCGGCACTGTATTGAGGGTTTGGCGTGTGATGCCAATTAGTGCGTGAACCTCCAAGTGAGTGTATCACCACAGCGAGGACTAGCTTGCCGACAAGGAAGTGAACCTCGGTAAAAAAAATCATTGTGTCAACATTTAATTCCGAGGTGATTGGTCTTCATTGATATTCATTATTGTGATTGATTGGTTCATTCCTCGACTCGACGGTATAACCATCTTGCTCTCTCTCTTTACATTACCGTAAATTAGTTGTCAAGCTCTTTAGTGTAGCTAGTCGTGAGAGCTTGTTAGTTTGGTTAGTGTCGCTCTTTAGTTAGCCTTTGAGAGCGCACTAACTTAGTGTAGTGACATAGCCATTGTGTGGATAGAGACTATATAAACTAAAATTATGGTAGGTGGCTTGTATTCTTAGTAGGCTAGCGCAACATTCGTTTCGCCTCATATTTGTCTAATCGGTTTGCTAAGTGTTGTTGTAGAAAATTTTATGGGCTATTCATCCCCCTCTAGCCATTAGGACCTTTCACAAGAGCGGGGAAACGAGCGCAGATCGAGGCATGCGCGAGAAACGGTGGCGGGCGGGCGGGCGCGGTCAGGCGCAACTGCCTCGAGCGTTCGGAGCAGTTCCCTTTATTTATAGAGCTGGCGCAGTGCCTTTTGCGGGACTAGTTCATTGATGTTCGCTTAGACTTATTTGATGCGCATATATTCATCTCAATTCACATACGTTGAAGTGGATTTGAGTGAAATTAAACTAAATTTTATTCCAATCCACTTCAACACATATGGATTAAAGTGAATACACATACATTCGAACAAGGTCTTAAGGGAGAAACTGCACCCTATGATTTGGACATTAACGGTGCTCCAAATTAACACAACTTTACTAAAAGTATTATAATAAAGCTATTTTTTACTCCATTCGTCCTAAAATACAAAACATCTCTGTAATTTTATGATAAATTAAGAGGCAAAGCAAATGACGCATATAATAAGCCTTTAATTTTGTTTGGGTCATCTTGTACCTACCATACTTGGAGTCTTGTGGTACACGTATGATCCGCGTGTTTTGTGAGAATTAATTCACAAGAATGCCTTACAATTTAGGGGAAAATTATGAAAGCTACATTTTGAACAAATCTACGCATATCATTTCCAGTAAAATTAAGCTCAACACATAAAAAATTTCATGCGACCAAATTTTGAGATAGCTGACATAAGAACAACGTGGGCCTCAATTTAGTGGAGTAAATAGTCATAAGCTGTTTTAGAGGGTGTTTTTCTTGGAATGAAGTAGTCCATCTCATCTCACTCTTTAGTTTTTCTGTTTGGTTTGTTGAATGGAATAAGTTGATTCATCACCACTTTATTCCTCGTAAGCTAATAAATAATACTAATTTATCAATGAAGTTATTATTCCACTATATTTGAGAACTAGACTCATGATAGCATCACTCTATCTAGAATGGATCGATTCTTCAAACCAAACACTCCGTTGTTGTCCTTCTGCAGATGTCATAAGAACCGCAAAATTAGCTTTTCCTTCGGATCCCATAATATGAACTAAAAAATTAGCTTGGGATGAAATCCTCACTAACTATATTGATTTTTGGCAGATTACCAAGCGTTTGCATTGAAAGTTTTGCTAACCTTAACTAACTTCGGACTGGATTGACTGGCTGACTGATAGCTTAACGAGTTACTATAAATGATTAGAGCTTTCCCCTTCCATCATTCCATGTGTTCTGTTTCTACAATAACTGATAACCATGTTCAGAACAATACTACCTATGTTATCTCCAGCAATGACCTGTGCAATGCAAATATCTGCATGCACCTGAACGTTTGTTGAGGCTTATGCAGCTTTCCAAAGAAAAAAAAAAACTATGCAGAACACAACTACCAATTGCAGACTGCAGGAGAAATAGCGCTCTCTCTCCACGACAAGTATGTCAGTAGCTCGATCATTCGTTACAAAGAAAAACACAATTTAGAAGAAGTTCCACCACCTGTACTAGGACTAGGACGACACACCAGAAAGGAGAGCAACTGTTCACCAAATTAAATAACTTCAGTAGATCATCAATCTATCTTTGCTTCTGACTTGAAATTAAGATTGGATCAACCAAACTGTATTACTGCACTCAGATCAAAAGATGCCACGATGCTTTGAACAGTGAGAAGCTCATAAATGTCCACAATGCATTTAACATCAAAATTTCAAGAAAATCATGAGCATATAGTAATTAATAGGCTATGGCAAGATGGTTTCATGGAACACAATCGAGCTGTACACGAGGTTCTATTTCGTAGGGTAAAAGTTATGTGGGACATTTCAGTTACAAATAGTAGATAGTGCACATGCTACAAATATCTGATCCTATTATATGATCACCCCCTGACCTGTCTTAGAGTAGCATTGATTAATCAATGAAACAATCACCTGTTCAGATGGAAGGAAATTTTTGTTACCAGCGCGTCATATTGTTTTACTACAACTCTTCAATCTCCTGCTTACATTGTCAATGGACCTCCCACTTTCATCCCTGGGGCATATGATCAAAGGTTGTGCCCGAGTACCATCAGAGTCGTTATAATGCCTCTGAGTTGCTGCTAGGGCAGCCCTCAGACTACTGTAGCTGGTGCCAAGAGAACGCTCATCAATCATGTTCTGGTGTCTTATCACCTAGCATGTGAGGATGCCTACATAGTTAACATATTTATATTTTGAAAATGCAAACAAGCTACTATACAATTGGCTTATAGTAATAGTATAAACTTTAAGCCTTGAAAAATTACGCAACAAACTAGAATTAACTTCAAAATTTTGTACAATTATTTAATTTATGATTAAAATCCCAGACTATATTATATTGAACAGTACAAAAACTTCCACGAGGGTGTTGACATTATAGGCAATGTTTTCAAGTCGTCCAGTCGAACCTAGTCGCCATGGGAACGACTAGGACGATTAATCTTAATCACGATTAATCGGACGACTTGTACAAGTCGACGGTACCCCTAATCAGTCACCAGAGACCGATTAGGACAATTAATCGCGATTAATCGGACAACTTGAAAACATTGCTACAACCTATAATTAGCCTTTAAGAATCCAGAGCTAAAACAAACAAGCCCTAACTATCAGAAGTTCAGAACTAGAATAGATATTCTTTGACATGTTCAAGAAAAAGAGCAAATTACTAAACCAGTACTTACTTGCTTATATGATACTGCGGGAAACATGATATGAAAGACCTTTGGGATTATCCTCCACCAAATCTGTAACAAAAAATGGGAATTTTTGTAATTTCATGAATCATCACAAAAGCTAATGCAGCTAAGGCCTTGTTCAAAGAAAACCAACAAGAAATAAACTACACTCACTAGATCATGACCGTCCGCCTATATAGCACCTCATCATCGGTATCCTCGTTATCATCATCTGACACTAGCTGGCTGCCTGGCATCTGAAGCTTCCCACCCATAGTAAACGAAGGTCCTGGTGCATCCCCTTCAATAAAATCCCCTTGCATCCTGTCCTCAAACCTCATATCACTGCAGTTCAGGAACCAATCCAAACTACACTTAATCCCCTTACTTGTAACTCTCATATACCTAGGCTTGATTCTTGACTCCAAGCTGTAAGTAAAATATTCTGGGTATTCCAACAATTCACTCATTGGTCTCTTCATCTCACTCTTAAAGAAGTACAAACTGTTCTTCATGAGCTCGATCCGCAGCAGTAGAATCTGAGGACAGCGGACCACCATCCGAGCAACATCCTCATTGGAGATCCCTCGTCCACGGAGGAATTCCACAGGCTTCAATATCACATTCTGATTTAAGCTTACAAGCTGTGGCAACTTCTCAACTGCACGGGCAAACCCATCGGGGTCGATCTGGAGCTTCAAGTTGAAGAAGTACTGTTGTGCTGCTAGCTTCGCTTTCAGTGGCAGCCCGAGTATAAGTGGATACTGTGCAATCACCAATGGCAGGGCCTCCTTCTGAATGCCAAAGCTGAGCAGTGCCTCCACGTTTGGTTTGACCGTTTCCTCAAGATCATAGCCGAGAATGTACGGCCGCTTCTCTAGGATCCTCGCCAGGATCCGCATGGGCAACCCGAGGGAGGTGATGTAGTCGCAGAACGGCTTGATGGTAGTGCCAACCCTCATGCCAAGGAAGAAAGGGAAGTGCGTTACCATGGGACCGATGTCTCGTGGCGCCACGCCGACGATGCCGACGAGGTAGGCGACGGAGGTGCTGATTGTGCCGTCGGGCTTGAGCCCCAGGACGTCGGGGTACCGCTCGAGCACGCGGGGGAGGTCCTGGCGATCGACGTCCAGGCCACGGAGCGCCTTGACCATGGGAGCGAGGTCGACGGCGACGGAGGCGTGGAGGCAGGCCGGGTAGGCGCGGACGAAAGCGGCGAGGCGGGCGCGCGTGACTCCGAGCTTCTCGAGGTAGGAGAGGACGGGGATGACGTTCTTCCGGAGGGAGCAGGCGAGGAGGAGTGGGTAGTTGGAGAGGTCGTCGGTGGAGAGGCCGAGGCGGAGGAGGAAGTCGAGGCGCTCCTGGAGCACCTCGAGGGAGGAGGGGAGCTCGACCGCCTCGAGCTCGCCGGCGGGGTCGGAGACGCCCGCGGAGCGGAGGAAGTCGAGCGCCAGCACGCGCGAGACGAGGCGCTCCTTGCGCCCCTGGATAACGCCCCACGTCACCGACGGCATGTCGTACTCCGGCGGCGCGGAGGAGAAGGCGGCCGACCTCGAGGAGAGCCACGCGAGGAGAGGGCCCTCCCGCGCGGCCGCCGCCTGGCCGAGGCTCCGGAGCGCGCGGGCGAGGGGGGGCATGGCCGATGGACGCGGCGCGCCCGGAGCGGCACAGGCGGCGGCGGCGGCGAGGCGGAGGCTGGATTGAGCGGTGTGGGGTTCGGCCGGCGGCGGCTTGTCCTTTTGGGCCGTGCCGAAGTGGCGCGGTGGCGTCCACCTGGGCGACCTGGGATTTTAGTGGGCTGTGGGCTGGGAAGCGCGTTGATCTGGGCCCCCGTCGCAATGGCGTCGGCGGACTGATCCGGCAGGCAGCAGTGACGACGCTAGGGCTTATTAAGGCCCAGTTTGATTTAAAGTCTAAACTTTAGGTCACGAGATCTAAACTATTGTCTAAAATTTAGCCAATCTCACCAGAATTTTATATCATACAAGTAAGCTGAAGTAGTGTAAAGTTTTTTTTCTCAACTTTAGCCACTAAACGTTAGAGCAGATAATTCAAACAAAGGCCAAAGCGAAAATATGCAAACACGGCCTGTGCCTCTCGTTACACACTGTGGAATTTCGTTAGGACCCTATTTTGTTATTAGGAATTGAGAAGAATTAGAAAATAATATAATACTGAAATGAGAAGCATTTTCCAAATACTGGTTTTAGTTTATGGGATGCAAACAGCTCCCAATAGAAATATTGTCTTTCGAGACACGGTGAAAATATAACCTAGATAAAGATACAAGGGAAGGAATTAAAGCGGGACTCTAGAATGCTCACGGTAGTGCACATTTCTCTTTTTCATCATACATTTATTTAGATATATTTGTTTATACAAAAATGACGTACGAACACTATATGAAAAATACAACGGTCTACAATAAAACGAGTTTATACTGGTTGTCTCAAGATGTACATGCATCAAACCGCTGAGCTAGGCGAGCACAGCACAAGCTACAGCGCGTTGTATGGGAAGTAGCCACAATACCATGCCGTGCCGATGAGCAGCTGCTCCCGTCAGTGCTCCGTCGTCACCAAGACAAGAGGAGATACAGATAAACAAGAGAAGAGATTTTTCTTTTTTTACCACTGACGACGTGACTAAACCTTTTCAATGTGTAGCACGAGAACCCTCGATGCTTCTATCGTAGCCACTTCTCGTGGGCCCTTCGGCCCCGACGGACCCCACGTCCCCGACGGAAACATCATGTAACACCTTCGGTGTTACATTGTACAGTTTTGCTAAAACACTGCATGAGCATCATACTTGTTTGTACATGGGTATAAATCAACGTACGGCACTTGAAACGTTCATCTGAAACAAGAAACAAATGTTACATTTCATATCGCTTTATATCATTTAGTATTCTAAGAGAATTTTTATCGAACAAAAATGCTATAGAACGCTTATGCGAAATTTTGATAAAGTTCGTAGTACGAACTTCGTAGGCGACGATAAAATACGTGCGGTCGAGGACGGGGTTCACTAGCTAGTGTATCAAGTAGCTTGAAAAAGGAATTCGACGCGAAACCGTTTAAAGCTTAGTTGTTTCGCGTAAGTTTGAAAATGGGTCGACGAAGCCATGTTCGGTAATTTTTGTAGAACGATCGGATTAAGAAGTGGCGAGGTGTCCTGGCTTAGTTCGATAGCCCTATGTACCGCTTGAGGATAGAACGACTGGTTTGACTTTCGGATCATCGAATTGGTTGTTGTTGCAGCTTTAAAAAGCGTGCAAGTCACGTGTTGAGCAATGCCAGCGCCTGGGCGCGGTCACCGCTCGGCTCTCGGCGTTGTCGCGCTGGCCGCTCGTCGCGCCTGCGCGCACACCGCGCGTTTGGCTCTGCGCGGCCGTCCACGGCCTCCTGCTGCCGCACTCTAGAACACGGCACGCGTGCGCTGGGCCCGGCAGGCCTGCCTGCTCTGTCCCTTCCCATCGCGTCCGCCTGAGGCTGCTGCTCGCCGTTGCGTCACGTCGCTCGCACTGCGCGCCGTCCTGCGCTGCCGCACAGCTACTGCTCTCGTTGACGTTCGGCTGTGCGCGCGCGTGGTCTTGCCCTGCTTGCCTCGTTCTCACACTTGCGCGCGAGGCCACGCCAAAGGTTTCCATCACATCGCCTAGAAGGTCGTCGGTCGACCGAGCCGCGCCAAAGCCAAACCAATGAGCTAGCCCCATCCGTGTTTCCGAGCATGTTTGTTGGTCGAGTGGGAGGACAGCGTCGTGCCTAACCGGGCACTGTTGCGGTGGTACAAGGGAAGGGCATCAATTTAAGTTTTGTCGTCGCCAGCCGCCATAAGTCCATAGGCGTCGCCCCTGCAATTTGGCCTCACATACTCCACAACTTTCCAATTAACCGTGCACACTACGAGCTAGAGTAGTTAGCTTCCGATTGGAGTCATCTCGCCAGGCTTCCTTCCTACGGTGAGGTAATGGAGAGATTTATCCCCTCGCGCCATGGCCGGCGAGGCGAGCGCTCGGCCGGGGCGATCCTCATTGCTCTGTTGTCTCAATCGGGCAGGGTTATTGCCTCTCCTTGACTCGTTCCCCTCGCCTATGCAGTGGCTCCATCGACGGAGCAGCAGGGCGCCGGGAATGCCTTCACCGTGGCCGGAGTGAACCAGAGCAACCTCGCGCACATGGCTAGTCCGTTGCCGTTCCTCGCGACTTCACCTAGCCCATCCGCCACATCTCTGGTGAGGCCCTCTTGCTCCTAGGATAGGCGGTTGAGCCAATTAGTGGCTAGGTAGCCCGGAGCGCGTTGGTGGCCACCGACGAGCTAGCTTAGATGTCATTCCTATGGCCAGCTCGGTTGGGCGCAGTAGTGATTCGATTAGGGCTTCAAGGTGTTTACTCTTAGCCTGTAGATGGTTACCGAGTAGCAGTAGAGGCGTACGGTTAGGTGGTTTCACCGACGTCGAGCTACCGCGGCCAGACCCCGCCGCGGCACATGGCCACGCCTGCGTGATGCGTCATTCTTGGCGTTTGTTACCTCAATCTGTTGCCCATGGCACGTAGAGGCTCATGGGGGTGCTGGTGGGTGCCAAAGAGGTCTGGGCTCACCGGCATTTGGCCAGCAAGGCCGCGGCCCCTGTTCGTCCGACCAGGGACTTTGTAAAGCATGAATTTGAATAGAGGTAGGGTCCTAGATGCGAAGCCTGTGACTCATTCAAATAGTGCTCGGGTTAACTTCATGAATAGGAAAAAGAATGGGGACTCGTTTGTAAAAACGTCAGCGCGCGCGTGGGTCTCCCGCGTTGGGGCCGTTGTCGCGGGAACGGGCCATCGCGTGGGCCGCACTGGCGTGCGCGGGTCGCTGAGGTGGGCCGAGCCGTGTCACGAGTTGGGCCGCGCTGTGAATTTGTTTTCTAATTTTTCAGCGATTTACAAATGTTTATTCCATATAGTTTCTAGCTGAACTTTGATAAATTATAGTAAATCTTGTAGATGTCTAAAAATAGTGAAACCAAGTTTGTTAGGTTCACAAAAATACCATCTACTTGTTAGTGTAATTAGATTGCAGTTAGCTATGACAATGGTAGGTTCATAAATTCAAACTAAAAAGCTTAGTATTATATAGATTAATAATTGTATGAATTTTTGTGGTAAATTGGTGATAGCTATAGCTATGAAAATTTTATAGTAGGCTCACTAGATTATTATGTACTTGCTATAAATTTTGTAGCCTTAGAGTAAGTTGATAAATAGAGTAGCTGTTATCCTTGCTTTATTATATATAGCGTAAATCAGCATTAGGAGTAAGAATACCTGTAGTTGCTATAATAATGTATACCATACTTCATATTTGTTATTGGTAATAATAGATAACTTAGTACCGTGGTCGATAGCACTAGCTTAGTAGTTAGACAGATGTACTTTTATTTTAAGAGTTGTTGTTGCTATATTACTAAGTATTGCATCATCATTTCACGTATGTAGATCACGAGTTGATAGAGTTTGTGCCCGTCGATGAACAGGAGTATGAGGAAGTCATCAAGGAGTATGAGGAGGAGATCCTCGTGCAAGAGGGAGCCCCAGAGCCTTTTGGTGCTGACCTTGCTGACCCGTCGCCTGCCCAAGGTAAGCCCCGGTGCATAACCCCTATTTTATGATCACTAAATATATATATGATGTGCATTTAAGTTACAGTCGTTTTATGGAGACTACATGCATAAATATATCTATCTATGAGTCCTACTAGTATAGGTCGAGTAGCTGCTATACTCAGGATATCGGTAGCGTGAGTAACCTGCCGTTACTCGCAAATAGGTGATAAATATGATCACTCATGATAAAATGGTGGAAATAAAAATGGTGACCGGGTAGGGAAATGGTTGGGTACTGGTGGGTGTAAGAAGTTGTGTTCTGCGGCCAACAGGGCATAGCTTGGTTATAATTTTTCCCTGTCTGTGTCGATTATGGACCGTTCATTGCATAAGTCTCGAGGCAAGTCACAGATCTATTATCCCGAGCACATATTTGGGTATGGGCACAGGGAAGACTCGTTGCTCTCTTGTCATGGATCCGACTCTTTCCAGATCGACTGATTGGAGGCGGGGTGGTGGAGGTCCTTGCACCGTACTAGGTCTAGGACTCAGGAGTGAGGGCTTGGAGTCCAAGTTTGAACAGAGACCTAGACACCCAGGACAGGAGGGTGATGGGTTAGTCCTGCTTGTGCCTGGGGTACAAGCGGGGCGTGTGTTTTCGAGGTACCCAGCTGGGGACATTGATTCGCGAATCGCCGGGCAATCCAGTACAGCTTGTTTTTGCGTCTAGCACCGTAGTAAGAACTAAAAGATGAAAGATGATGAAATAAAACTGATTGCTCAACTCTTGCTTGAAAGTAGAACATGTGCTTATATAGACTGGATAGATAATAACTTAATACGGCTGATAATAACAACATAACTAAGGACTCACTATTAGTATTGTTTTTTGCCAAAAGAAGACCAGCAAACCATAAAGCTTATTATATTCCTTGGAGTCAGGAAATTATTGTGGCAGAACCGCCCAAAATAACACGCTTATAAAGGTGCTCGTCTTCCACCAGACACTAAGCACCCTAAAAGCAAGCTACAGTGGGCGGTATCCGTTGGG